GCTTAGGCCTGCGCCTGGACCGAACACCCAGTCTGGGCCTATGCACAGCCTGGCCTTTGAAAGAGGGAAAAAAAAAAAAAAAAAAAAAGGCCAAAAAAAGGGAGATTGATTGATTATAATTAATTGATTGATTGATTGATTGATTGATTTCAATAAAAACAAATCAACCAAGCATTCAGTAGATAGAATTGCCTGTGTGTCTGCATGCGTGTTTGCCTGCATGTCTGCTTCCGTGTGTGCCTGCCTATTTGCCTGTCTGCCTTCGTATCTCCCAGCCTGTCTGTCTGTCTGTCTGCCWGCCTGTCTGCCTGGCTATATAACTTCCTGTCTGCCTATATGTCTGCACGTATGTCTGCCTATGTGTTTGCGTGTTTGTCTCCGTGCCTGTCTTCTACATGCTTGCACCTGGGCATGCCTGCCTGTTTGTCTGTTGCATCCTATGCCTGCCTGTCTGCTGCATCCTACGTGCCTCTGCATAGCTGTCCGGCCTTTCCCAGGCCCGTCTCCGTGGCCTACTCCTAGCCTGTGTTCCCGGTACAGGCCCGGGCCCAGACCCAAGTCAACGGCGACCTGGCCAGACCCAGGTCAACGGCCGTACAGGCCTGGGCCCAGACCCAGGCCAATGGCGGGATGCGGCTGCGACTTGCACCTGGGCATACAGTTCCGTGCTTTAAAAAAAAAACAGTTTCGTGCTATAAAAAAAAAAAAAGTTCTGTGCTAAAAAAAAAACAAAAAAAAAAAACAGGTCTGGGTCCATTTGATTGATCAATCAATCAATCGATCGATCAATCAATAAATCGATCAATCAATCAATCAATCGATCAATCAATTTCATTGATTTCAATAAAAACAAATCAACCAAGCAGTCAGTAGATAGAATTGCTTGTGTGTCTGCATGCGTGTTTGCCTGCATGTCTACTTCCGTGCGTGCCTGCCTATCCGCATGTCTGCCTTCGTATCTCCCCGCCTGTCTGTCTGTCTGCCTGTCTGCCTGCCTGTCTGCCTGCATACATGTCTGTCTGCCTGGCTATCTCACTGCCTGTCTGCCTATGTGTCTGCATGGTTGTCTGCCTATGTGTCTGCGTGTTTGTCACCGTGCCTGTCTTCTAGATGCTTGCACCTGGGCATGCCTGCCTGTTTGTCTGCTACATCCTATGCCTGCCTGTCTGCTGCATCCTACGTGTCTCGGCATAGCTGTCCGGCCTTCCCCGGGCCTGTCTCCGTGGCCTACTCCTAACCTGTGTTCCCGGTACAGGCCCCGGCCTAGACCCAAGTCAACGGCGACCTGGCCAGACCCAGGTCAACGGCCGTACACGCCCGGGCCCAGACCCAGGCCAATGGCGGGATGCGGCTAGGACTTGCTCCTGGGCATATAGTTCCGTGCTAAATAAAAAAACAGTTCCTTGCGGAAAAAAAAAACAGTTCCGTGCTAAAAAAAAAAAAAAAAAACCAGGCCTGTGTGCCCTCACCACATGTGGGCCCAGACCCAGGTCAACGGAGGTACAGGGCGAGACCAGGTCCTGCCTCCGTGCGTCCACAGGTCCAACCACAGGTCCAACCACAGGTCCAAGCCCAAGTACGACCCTAGGTAGACCTGAAAACAGCGTAGGCCACAGACCCAGGTCAACGGGGTTACAGGGGCAGACCAGCGCCAGGGCAACATGTGGGACTGGACATGGGCTAGAACTTGCACTTCTTCTTTGAAAGGGCAGGGTCAAAACAACAACAACAACAACAACAACAACAACAACAACAACAACAACAACAACAACAACAAAAAGTCAACGTCTGCCACTTACCAGGCCTATAAATAGATGGCCAATGACTGACACCAAACCACCAATAATGTGCTGAGCTCACATTTGTCGCCACTTCTTCTACTCCCTGCGCAATTCTTTGACCTTCTTCATCTTCAACACTTCTCTCTTTCATCTCTCTCTCTCTCTCTCTCTCTCTCTCTCTCTCTCTCTCTCTCTCTCTCTCTCTCTCTCTC